GAGGTTACAAACGCTAGCACATGTCGACATGTTCGTGATAGAACCGGTTCACTCGTGGCCCTACTAGTGGGGATTATTCACTAGTACTCGTGTGCCTGCCAATGGGAGGTTTATAACACTGGCCATGACTAATAGAGGAGACCACTACGTGATTTTATTTTGCATTAATGATTTGTTATTGAAACGCTCCGTTCTTGAAATGCTCTGTTCATGTTTCAACCGATTATTTGGCATGCTTTAAACTTTGATGTCGGGCCCCCATGTTTACTTACTGAGATATTTTTATCGCACGGTTTCCTTGTCCACCATTTCAGGTAGTGAGACCCGACGCGTGGGAAGCCTGGGGGAGTGACGAGCTAGACGGCTAGGCACTTTTGGATTTAGGTTTTTGTAGCTAAGCCGTTAGTCACCCATGCTTGACATAGAAAATTTTGTGTACAGCATTTAGTGCTAGTCATGACTGTATATATGAAATGATAAATCTTGTTCATCTGACTGGTAAATTTTTGGTAATTAAAAAGGCTTAGATCTGAATTACCTGAATTGCTAGGTATGAACTTAGTAAGTTCCGAGCCTTGTGCATTTGTGGGACCCCCTCACAAGTGCACGGCGTCTGCCACGTCCCCGGATTTGGGTTCTAGGGCGTGACATTAATATTGACTAACGCTATATTTTTTGTATAATGCCCTTTTAAATATTGAATAGAATAATATTTTTTGTATAATACTTTTATTAATATTGAATAAGTACTAAATATTAATATATATATATATATATATATTAGAATTGTCTTTTGAACTCTAATCCTTCATATCTTTTCTTTTAATGAAAGTTAATACCTTTATGAAATTATGAATTCTAAATATTGTATAGGTATTAATTTAATATATATTTTAGTTCCACCTATAAAATCACTAACCTTTTCCTTTTCTTTTCTTGAAATTGGAAAAAAATTGAATTATGAAATGGAAATTAACGTTTAATAAAGTTTTCTAACTAAATAGTTAATTAATAATAAACGTTTTTTTAACTAAATAGTTAATTAGTATTAAATTTTGTTAAAAAAAAGTATAGAAAAATTTTAATTTTAATTTTAATTTTTTAAAAGTTTGGTCCACCCAACTCAATCCAAGACCAATGTGGAGTGTGGATAAGTCATGGGTTAAGCTCCTTAACCTGACACCCATGGGTTAACCTTCTGTAACCAGACACTCGAAATGACACAATCCGAGCAACCCAAAATCCGAAATGATCCAATCCGAATCTACTCAATCCGACCTATGTGCCAGGTCTACCAAGAATATGTTAATGCATTAATTAAAATATTTAAACATTGTAGCATTATATATAAGTAACAATGAAATTGCACTCATGAAGTCAACTATCATGATCCAACTTATTAATCTCATCATTAACACTTAAGTACCTAAATAAACATTCATAATGACTCACTCCACAGCTCCATGTCCAAGACCAAATCATCCCACTCCCATTTGCTGCCACTGCCACAGGTCCCCCCTTCTAACTTTCCTTCCTCAAACCGGAACTCTTCTGCACCCAAACCACCCAATTCACCTGCTCCCTCAACCCATAGAGCAGTTATCTCTTCCTCTTTCACAAGCGGTAGCAATGGCGGTGGTTGAGGCATGGAACTGCTGCTTTCTTCTCGTTGTGGCTGTAGCAGGGTTCTGGGCCCGCTCATTAGGCTTCCGGTAATATTTCTGGTCTGGGGTCCTACCACTTCATTTCTCCCACTTCTCTCGTTAGTTTCTTGGGCACTAAGCTTTTTACTCAGATGGCAATTCCAATAGTTCTTTACATCATTAGCTGTTCTTCCAGAAAGTATTTTAGCGATCAAAGACCACCTAAATATATGTCACAGAGTAATTAAAGGTCACCATCATCTCCAAATCAAAAAAATCAAAGTTGATCAAAAGAACTTGCCTGAGAAAAGGCGCATATAAAAATATGAATTTTATCATTTTTTCTAATGCAAACTTTATCAGTTTTTAAATAAAACAATAAATTTTTAATTTTTTATATTTAAAAATGTTAATTTTGCGTTTTTATTTATAAGGATTAATTGGATGATGATGTTAACACGACCTATAAGTTTTAAATAAAAATAATATAAAATTGATATCTTTAAAATAAAAAAGTTATAAGTTTATTATCTTATTCAAAAATTAAAAAAATTTATATTCTTCAATAAAAAATAAAAAATTAAATTCATATCCTTGCCTGTTGCCAAGTAGTTTGTGGAGCTTGATAATGAGTTCCACCTCATCTTCAGTAAAGCTCCCTCTTTTGATGTTGGGACGAAGGTAGTTTAACCATCTCAGTCTACAACTTTTCCGGCACCTGTTCAGACCTAAATTACCAACATAGATGAATTTTACATGTTTTGGCCTAGAATATCCATTGAAGTTCAATTTCATTGTAACTTGTTACATTAATCGATGATTCAATAATGGACGATATCTGAATGGGTCTTAGATAAAGTTATTAGTATAATGATATATTAAAAAAATTATGCGAAATGAAATTCATTTCATAAATCGCTGGGATTTTGGGGACCATGCAGAATTACCCAACCGGCCAGGACTACCATTTCTCCCAAAGATGAGGTAACCAACAGGTCAACAAGATAAATCCTCAACTAAAACCTCGTCCTAGTCCTTGCACGTGTAGTCTATGCCCGAGGCACTAGCATTCTTAGGCCAGACCCAAATTGTACCCCAACTAGGCCAAAAATCTCCCAAGGGAGCAAAAACCGATAACCAACAACTGAGAAATATTAACCTAATACTAGAGCTCACAGGAGCTCTCTCCTTGCCTCGACCTATATGATACTAGAGAAATATTATATACTTACTGCCATAGCACAAGGGTTTCTCAGCCTCGGTTGGCAAACTAGCACTTGAACTGGACAAAATAAAAATAAAGGACCTAAACAACCAAAATAGAAATAAAAATGAAGGACCAAAAACAAATCCCTAATAGAACCAAAGGACTTTACTTATCAATCCCCCTTTGCCACCTTTGGCACCTTCTTGCCTTCAATATTTACCAACGTTTTCCCAGGCTACAGTCCCTACAAGCCACCAGAGTCTACATTTACAGCTAATCATGTAATCTGATAATAAAGTTATCAGTACTCTTAATTATAGATTTTCAATTCAATCTCTAATTTCTATGTACCAAAGCCCAAAGTCTACATCCAGCCATCCTCAAACCTCCTTGCAACCGCCTTTCATCAAGCCATCCCCCAACCTCTCTCCCAACCCTGCACTCTTCCCATTTCCCTTGTATCATCGTAATCTCTACATCTACACCTCCTTTGGGCCCATCCCGCAACTGCCACCTACAAACCTCAAATTGACCAATCGCTCAACCCAAAAGCATTATTCTTCAATGATTAGGCCTCTAAATTGTGTTGCTCGCCCTTCCTTCGTACACACCTATCGAAAACCCAAGGATCCACAGTAGCACCTTTCCACCAAAACAATACAAAAGCCACTAAACAAAAGATAATTAAAGATAGAGACAACGCTGCAAGTACAAGGTGAGAAGAGAACCTTGCATACTAGAGAAGAACCCCAGACACTAAAGAAGCACCGTTTACAAGCAACAGATAAATCCTGACACAAAAGCTCTAGGGTGTCGAGAGGAACCATAACAGACAATAACATATTTTGTTTAATTAAAATGATATATAGATTTTATTATCTTAGTATTTATTTTTAATTATTCAAATCTTAATTATGAAATAAAATCCCATTTGACAGCCAAAAAAATGGAAAAATAAAAACCTATTTAATCAAAAGAGAAAAAAAAAAGGTACAGAATAGTTGAACAAGAGAATTAAAAGAAAAAGGGTACCAGATTTAGTCCCAAACTCTATCATAAATTTAGACATTGTCCTAACCTTTTTTTTTGGGCTAGAAATGGTCCCCAATCTTTTCGAAATCACCAACCCTATTCTAGAGTTAGTTACTTAAGTATATAATGAAATCCTAATTGGAATTTTAATTATGGGACCCATTTAAATTCCATAAAATTCCGAAGGTAACTTGTATAACTTTATAGTTTCTAGAAATGATTCTTAAAATAGAAGTTGTGTTAATCGGAGAAGATAGAAATAAAATAGAGATTTGGAGTTGCAATTGGAAAAAAGAAAAAAATTTAAAAAATTCTCAAAATTTTGGGGTTTGGCAGGCTAGCTTTTCCCTATTTTAAGGATTTTCATGGATTTTACACTTTAAATTCTAGTCACAATTTTGTTAAAGACTTAGCAGAAGTGACTAACTATAGGATTATGCTTGGTAATTTAGAAAAGATTAGAGATCATTTTCAGTTTAAATGAAATGTTAGGATAATATTTGGTGTTTATGGTAAGATCGGGGACTAATTTTGTTTTCCACTCAAAGAAAATAAACTATATAAACAAACATTCTTGTTTGAGAAAGTGGACACATGCATTTAATTTATGATGCTGCCTATATATTGAAAACGATGGTAGTTACCGTTCAGCATAGCCGATAAAAGAGTTCAGAATTGTGTTTGAGGGGACCATCTCAAACATCCATGTGCTAACGTGGTGGCTATCAAATGACGATGCAATTGGCAACTAAATTTCAACAGTTTTTCAATATTCACTACTTACTATATTTGGTAACGCCATGCTAGCAATTTTCACAAAACAAATTTCTATAATGAATTCTCACAACGTCACTCACAAATTAATTTATCTAACTCATCAGTTTTTAAACAAATCCGATTTATATATTCCATTGGAAAAGTTACCCGTCATTTATATAATATACTTAGCTAAAATTAGAGGACAAGAAACATATAATTAGATCATACCTTTCATCTATGGAGGAAATCGAGAGAGAAAGCAAATGAATCCTTCTCTTGTGTTATGTAGCTTGACTAATGGGTTTCAATTAAAATAAAAGAAGAAAAAAACCAAAGAAATTAAGAAATCTTTTTGGAATTTGTATTAGTCTCCTCAAACCCTGCTGATCTACACTTTTAGAGACCTTTCTCAGCTAGCTACTTGTTTTTTTATTTCATGAGGCAGATGTGCCCCTCCCCCAAAAAAAGAAATGTGAAAAGAATGGAAACAAGGATGAGCATGTATATTTATATATACTCAATGCAACTACATCAAATTAATTAACGTATAGCAGACTAGAACTAAATGATTTATGCTGGCACGAAGTTCAAATATCAGCTGTAGATACCGAATTTTTTTATATAGAAGAAGCAGAAACAAAACGATAGATAAATACATAGCATGATTCTGTACTTTGAGATAATGAAATAATAATGATAATAATGAAAATATAATCAAGGGAATATACCAGCCAGATGAGGCACCCGATGCCAATTTCCTTCTCCATACTGCTCTATGCATTTCTTGAGCAAGTTATCTTCTTCTTCAGTCCAAGCAACACCTCCCATCTTTGCAGAACTCACCGGTGTTTCTGGCGCTTTATCAACCCTTTTTTTTATTTCAGCTCCCGCTTGTTATCTATCCATTTTGAGATGATTCTGTACTGATCTATATAACTCTTTTCATCATTGATTTTCAGTGATAACAAAAATCAAACGAAGTTCATTCACATATGAAACATTGGTCAATGGTCCCTGACCCTTTCCAAGGATGTCCGGTTGTATTATGTTTTTTGAGGAGACAACATGAGTACTTTGTCATCCTCTGTCTTTCTCTTGTCTTTTACACCTACTATTAACATAGAGAAGTCTCTGTGATTTCTTTTGTCCGATCTTTTGGAAGAATCTTTTACCAGATCATACCTATCAGCTTCAAATCACACGAAGTGTGTCTATAAATTTTATATATATCCTGATTTTTAAATCAGAGATTATGAGACTATTTGTCTTTGTTTTATGATATTTGATTAAAATGGCATAATTAATTTTTTTTTTGTTTTATTTATTTATTTTTGTAAGAACCACCCTTGCAGAACTACATGTAAAGGAGATTAAGGCCAAAGGAGATTAGGGACCTGTTTGTTACAACTTGTGGAAAGCACTTCTTAGCTTCAAAAGCACGAGCTGTACCAAACATTATAATTAGTGAAAAATTCTACAACTTATCACAAGTTAGTCTCTTCTCCATTTCATTACAAATCTCAGAAACATTAAATTGGTACTTTTGCAGGAGTTTCTCGTTTAGGTTTTAATGAAATTTAGACATTATTCTTATTTTATCCTTATTTTTCTTTTTATTTACAAAAACAATATTTTTATAACAGTTTTTTTTTCCAACAAGACTTCTACTAAAAACTCAAACTACACCAAATGGGTACTAAGCACTAGCTACCCAAGTCTCTATAAATTAGAATTAAAGAAACATAGACCAAGATTGTATGGAAAAAAATATCAAATGTCCTATCCTAAATCTAATTGTATAATAACAAAAAAAAAAAAAAAAAAAGAAAAAAAAAAAAAAAGAAAGAAAAGAAAGAAGTTATGGTTCCACCTTTAGGTGCGCGAATAAACATTCTTCTAATATCTTACCTATTATATTTATAAAAAAAATTAAGAGAAAAGGCATTTTAAAATGACATGATTTTAATAAAATAAAAGTAAAGACTAAAACACTCTTATTTCTACTTTATTGAAATAATATATATATATATATTTACACATAGGTTTTACAAACTACACTTACACAAAATTTTAATTATTCATTTCTTTATTTTTAATAATTAAAATTTGTTCACATTTATTAACAATAATTATTTTTTTTACCTAAAAAGATATGATAAATCTCGACTATTAAAAATGAAGAAATAAATGATTAAGATTTTATATAAGTGTAGTACGTAAAATTTGTAAGTAAACAGATCCCTCTTCATATATATATATATATTAAGTAAGGATTCATTTACATACAATTTTTACACATTACACTTAAATAAAACATCAACTATTCAGTTCTTCAGTTTAATTGTTGAGATTTATTTACCTTTATTAAAGATAATTATTTTTTATCAAAAAAGTTATAATAAATTTTAATCATTCAAAGTGGAGAGATGAATAATCAATATTTTTTTATCAGTATGTAAGACTTATATATATATATTTGAGAAAAGTGTTTTAGAGGTCATTTTCCTAAATTTTTTTTTTTGAAGAATTTGTCTACAAACTTATCTTCTAATTAATACTTTCTAAAATTAATCATTGAATTGAAAGTTTTATTCATATAAATCATATATGTTAATTTTTAAAATGATCTAGTAGACCTAACCACTTCATTTATTACACTAAATTTAACACTATTAAATATATAATAGTGAATAGAATCTTTTTGATCAAATGATTATAAGTGTTAGATTAATATCAAAATTAATAGACAGAATGTATATGAATAGAACTTTCAATTTAACAATTAGTTTTTTAAAATATTAATTAAAAGGTAGGTTTTTAGACTCATCCTCCAAAAAAAATTTTGGGATGACATTGTGTCATACACAAACCCATATATATATATATATAGAAATAAGAAAATGATATGTAAACAGTCGATTCAACACATTTTTTGACACACTTTTAGTTCAATCATTAAAAATATAATATAAATATAGTTGATTTAGCCGAATCCTATATCCTGTGTATATGATTGTATCTTTAAACATGTCTGTTTTTAATTTCAAACTAACAAATAGTAATCTTTTAATGAGTGTGTTGTACAGTGTGTTAAACCAGAGTATATATCATCATTGTCCATTGAAATATCATAATACATCTTAACCATTAATATTAAAAAAATAAATAATTATAATTTTATGTAAGTTTTATGTAAAAAGATTGTGTGTGTGTATATACAGAAAGAGAAACAATAGTGCATATCAATCCAAACTCTCATAAAGACCAAAACACCACCATCTTCTAAATATTTTCAAAAATCAACAATTAGATTTAATGTTCTATATTTTTGTAAATCATATACGTTAATTTTCATACTGATTAAATATATTTAGCTAGTTCATTGATTATAAAAAACTTAAAACTATTAAATATAATTTAAAAAACATGAGTTTCTTGGCCAAATAATTGTAAATGTTAACTTGACTTAAAAATTGATATGTATGATTTATATCAATAAAATATTAAATTAAATGGTTGGTTTTTTGAAATTATTCATTAACAAGTAGTGTTTTCAAAGTTATGACTCCAATTTTTTTTGAAAGTCAAGATTAAAATGTGTTATTTTCATATATGTGTGTTGTATATTGTCATGCCCCAAAACCCGAATTCGAGGCGCGACAGACGCCGTGCACTTGTGAGAGAGTCTCACAAATGCACAAGGCTCGGAACTTATCATATCACAATCTGATACCACCAAAATTTGAAGATCAAATCTTTAAAATTTGTCCGATATCATAAATCTCCAAATACACTCTAGCTTACAAAATCACGATTTATTTCTAAAATCTATATCAATCTCGAAATGGCTAGTTTTCTAACTCGTTACTTCCCGTGGATTCCCCGTCCTCGGTTTCATTTCCTGAAATGGTGGACAAGGAAAACTATAAGATAAACTCATAAGTAAAATATGGGTTACCCTTAATTAAACTTATAGCATGCCAACAAGTGCAATCACGAAAAACGGATACAATACGGGAACGAAATAAATGTCTCCTCTATAGGTCACGGCCAGCGTCTAACACCCACTGGCAAGCGCACTGTTTGCTGGTGTATAATCCCCACAAGCAGGGTCACTATTTGCTGGTGTATAATCCCCACAAGCAAGGCCACTATTTGCTGGTGTATAACCCCCACTAGCAGGGTCACTCAACGAACCGATTCTATCAATAACATGTCGATATGTGCTAGCGTTTATAACCTCCCCCACTAGCAGGGTCACTAATAACATGACCACATCAGAGACAAAACAGGCAGAAGTTAACAGAAAAACACAATTCACAATCACTTTCAGATCATCAGGACAATCACTTAAATTTCAAGTAGGCATGCTCAATTTAATGAAAAGCATAAAACATTTCACTTCAAATCAGTCATACTTGTGTAAAACGGGTTTAGTCCCGCCACCACTTCAAAAACAAATCAAAACATGCTTTTAAAACAGTACGGGCATTACCATAAATTTACTTAATTCACTTCGCAAAATCGAGCACTCAATTCACGTACTAAACTGATAGAACGATCAAGAACCTAATCAAAATATCCACAAATTAATTACCGTACTATCACAAATTCAAATTGAAATCATCATTAGGATCATCCCCTAATCACAATGCTATTTCCTATCAATTTCCACATTATCAGATATCTCCAAATTTGTTCTTATATCACAAACTAATCATTTAAATCCCTGTTAATCGTTGACTCTCAGGGTGTGAACAGTGCCTATAAACAGTACCCGTGAACAGTACTTCAACTTCCAAAATTGGCAAAACATAGCTAATTCACGGGATTTAACTCCAAAATCACAACAACCCAATTCAAGCTAATTTCCACTTAAATTAAACAAAAACCCACTTAAGCTACCAACTCCCGCGATAGAAAAATGGAGAAAATGGCTCTGCAAAAACCACACTCACACCTGGGATTTCTCACACAAAACATCACAGCAGCTAATTCAAGCTAAATTCTACATAATCAAGCTTAAAACACATTTAAAATACTACCGGAATTCCTCCCCATTTCCAGCACAATTCGGACACACACAAAGCAGCAATTAAATGGCTAATTTAGGGCTTAAAGAAGTGGCCATCATACCAGAATTTTCCAGCAAGAACTGGAGCTAGCAGGGGAAGAAGAAGCCGGCTGCAAGCCGCAGGGAACTCACGGACTACCCAAAAAATTGAGGGAAATAAACAGAAATTAGCATAACCCAGCCTAAATCAAGGTTAAAGAGATGATTTCTTGGCTGTGGCTTACCCGAAAAATGCCCAGAAATTCAAACCCACAGCAGGCGGCGGACATGGGAGAAGAGCAGAGCAGAACCGGGATTTTCTGGGTTGAGAGGGAAGATTCTAAGCCCCAAATCTTGTGATTTAACAAGAAAAGAAGAGGAAAATTCAAGCCTTTTTGCCGAATTTCTCAAGAGGAGTGCGTCAGTGGCTACGGGGGGCTTGTCGGGTGCAGAGGAGAAGAAAGAAGAGCAGATGCGCGGATAAGGAAGAAGCAAAAGAAAGAACAACTCAGCCATCCTTATCCTAATTTCCTTTCTTTTTAGGTCCCCCAACTTTTGAAAATTTTTGCTATTACATTCATTAATGATATTTCCTCACAATTAGGTCCCTAACTTACTTTAATGCTCTAGAAATTTTGGGGTATTACATATATATTAGTATATATACAATATTTTCTAATAATAATAGAATATAACATATAATATATTTATGTTGTATTTTAATATATATATATATATATATATAAGGGAACAGGAAGGGATAGAGGAAGAAATAGGAATAAAAGGTAAAAAGCAAAACAAAGAGGAGAAGATAAAACCATTTGTATAGAGGCACCAAACCATTTGCAACGACTGTCTTGTTTCATGGTAGAGTTTAAAATTTAAGGTTAAACCCCTATTTTGGTCCCTGAACTATTGTACGGACCCCCGATTTGGTCTCTGAACTAAAAAAATCCCTAATTTGGTCCTTGAACTATTGTACGGACCCCTGAGTTGGTCCCTAAACTATGGTACGGACTCCCAAGTTAGTTCCTAAACTATTGTACGGATGCCCAATTTAGTCCCTACTGTTTACCAATTTAACCCCAACTTGGTCCTTCTGTTAAATAATAGCTCAGGAACCAAATTGGGGTGAAATTGTAAACAGTAAGGACCAAATTGGGGGTCCGTACAATAGTTCAAGGACCAACTTAGGTCAAATTATAAACATTGGGGACCAAATTGGGGGTCCGTACAATAGTTCAAGGACCAACTTAGGTCAAATTATAAACATTGGGGACCAAATTGGGGGTCCGTACAATAGTTTAAGGACTAAATCAGGGATTTCTTTAGTTCAGGAACCAAATCGGGGGTCCGTACAATAGTTTAGGGACCAAAATGGGGATTTAACCAAAATTTAAATATTAAACTTGAAGAAAGACATCAGCTCTTTTCCAAAAGTTGTGTTTCTCTAAAGTGGTGTAAAAGGTACTAATTGGTGTACATAAATTAAGAGATATGATTTTTTTCTTTCCTCTGCATTTTCTTTCTTCCTTGAATATATTGGCTTTGGGTGATTAAAGTTCAATTAGTAGGCATTGTATCCTTGGGGATAACATTTCTTGCAGAGAAGCGAAAACTATTATTCTTAAGATAGGTTCCTAGAACAGCCTTACCTACAATAATTGCATCTACATCTCTTTGCATGCAACAATTTAAGGATAATAGTTGTTCCAAATGGATGTTGAGAATGTGGAACAATTTCTATTTGTGCCGCAAGAGCAAAAATATTGAAAGAGGAAAGGATTTTTACTACAAAGGCCAAGTTGCAAATTTTCGCTGAAACGACAAATTGCGATGGTGTTGATCTCTGTCAAGAATCACGAATAAGCATTGCAATCTTGATGGCTAAACCGCAATCCACCAAATTAGGAATGGCATTATCACCATTGCTTTTATGGATTGATAGCAATGACTCATAGATATCATTGAAAAATGGAAAGGACCTGCAGCAAGTCAAGATATAAATTAATTCTTGAAGCATAAAGAAAATAGAGTATCACCTTCTTGTGCCACCCTTGGGTAAGGTGTTGTTCTCTTTGAATCGATGTTGTAGTGATGCTGGTAAAGATCTCTTGTCAATTCACCAAGAACCCACAAAACTAAAGCATCACAACAATGACGCCGTTGTCAATTTTGAGAATGGATTTAAGCATCTCAAATCACATGGGTTTGTTTATTCCACTTGAATTATTGTTCCCTTTAATTATTTTAATTGTTTTTGTTCTTAATTTCTTGATTATTTAAATTTATTTAATTCTCACTTATGACTTTTTATTTGTATAGTACATTTTGCATTGGTTAATTTAAATGAACTGAGGATTCGATACAAGATGAGAGGACAATTTTGTTCTAGTCATCAAGAAGATGAAGATTAAGGGATTTTGTCAAATAGAATAAGAGGTTAGGGACTGCCTAACTGCCCAACATTTGTCAATAAAATGACATCAGTATATGGAATGGTAGAATGGTATTGTATCCGAGCAACTTGAATCAAAAGCTCTAAATTAGAGGTATGCTTTGTTTACAAGAATATGCTTGGGAAATTCTAGTATGTTTTCAAGAATTTTACTTGCATTATTTTAACATTTTCCCATATGCTTTTAATTCGAGTTTTATGAAACTATGATTCATTTGCTTATTAATTGTTAATAAGATAAATTGTGATTTGGAGTTCCGATTTAAGATTGGGTAAGTGAATATCTTATTCCTTTTTGCATGAGAAGCATCTAAGAAATTTTAATTGCTATTAGTATTCTGTCAATTGCATAAGTGTTTTGATCTTAGTGACATGTATCATCTATTGATTTGCAACAAAGTATTTCCAACCAAGACATGAAAATAAAATTTGATGAAGAAGCAGAATTTGAAAGAAGAAAAGTGTTGGTAATATGGTTGCATATGCATTGGAAGAGGACTAGATGCTTTCTTGTGAAAGAAAGCCATATGATGAGATGAAGTCTATTCATAAAAAATAATAATAAGTGTTGATTACTTTTGAGATTTTCTTTGGTAACTCGATTTACATCTATTAGAATGATATTGCTATTTCCTTCATTTATAATCTTAAAGTGTAGCAAATGGATGTGAAGTTCACACTTCTAAATGGAAAACTTGAAGAGCAAATTTACAATGGCATGTGGTACAAAGTCAATTGAACAAGAACAAGAAGAGGTTGGTGAGGATGATATGATTGATATGCTTACCAATTTCACTAGAAGAGGTAAGAAAATAAAAGAAATAAATATCATCATTAAGGATGATATGTTTGCTATACTCACAAATTTGAGAATTTTGCTATGTCATTAGCATTGAAAAAGTCTTGAACAAATACTGTTGCTTAACCCCATAACAAAAGGTTGAATAAAATTTGGAGAGGTATGGGACTACTACCAATAATATGGAGTAATCATGTTTGAAACCAACTTCATCACTTTGATGTTGACATGAAGACGTGTATTTAATCAACAATCGGGTGCATAGAAGTTCAATGGCAATTCACTCATGAATTACTCAAGAAATGTTGGCACAAGGTGCTACATTTTCAGTGTACTTTATTATTTAAGGAATAGTGGGGTTAATTAAATAAATAGATAACTATTTCTTTTAAAGTCCTCCACCTAAACAAGTACACTATTTATTCACAACAAAGTACATTGAACATTAAAGTTCTTAATGGACTCATAGCTAACTCTAGTGGAATGGAAGTTGTGAGCATTCTTGATGAGTCTACCTATGCAAGTGGGAAGGTCAGAGGTCACCTTCTATGGATTATATTGATTAATTTTAGAGCACTTGCTAGAACAAGATTAGCGCATGACCCTTTTTATAAATGTGCTTGCCATGGTGGAACTTTGAGCCCATTTATAATGTGAATATGATTCCTTAGTGCTTCATATTCAATCCAAAGGTTCAAGCCTTGGCCATCTTTTAGACATACATTATATATTGCCGGTATACTTAACATTATTATTAGAAAAATAAGTGGGGGATTGTTGTATATATTAGTATATATACAATAATTTCTAATAAGAATAGAATATAACATATAATATATTTATGTTGTATTTTAATATATATAAGGGAACAGGAAGGTATAGAGGAGGAAATAGGAATAAAAGGTAAAAAGCAGAACAAAGACGAGAAGATAAAACAGTTTGTATAGAGGCAAGAAACCATTTTGCAACGGTTGTCTTGTTTCATGGTAGAGTTTAAAATTTAAATATTAAACTTGAAGAAAGACATTAGTTCTTCTTCAAAAGTTGTGTTTTTCTAAAGTGGTGCAAAAGGTACTAATTGATGTATAATAATTAACAAGACAGCACCAAGAGATATAATTTTTTTCTATCTTCTGTGTTTTCTTTCTTCCTTGAGTATACCGACTTTGGGTGATTAAAGTTCAAGTAGTAAACATTGTATCTTGGAGGAAACATTTATTATAGAGAAGTGGAAACTATTATCCTTAAGTTAAGTTCTTGGAATTGCCTTGCCTACAACAATTGCATCTACATCTCTCTGCATACAATAATGTGTAGGTGTAATTAATGCATTGTAGATCGTACTGCAATTTTTTTAAAAGGAGTTACTCTAAAACTGGGTTTGTAATTAATAATTTTAAAAATCAATCATTAAATTAAAAATTCTATTTATATAGAATATTTTTTTTAAGGTAAGTTAATTTATAAATAAGAGTATAGATAGTCAACCCATAGACAAGTTCGAGGATAAGAAGGATCCTATGAACTTATAAACAAACCAATTTAATGACAAAGTCTTTCCCTATCAATTGTATAATCCTACGAATCATTAAGCACTAATATTAGCCAAGCCACATGAATACGATTTTAGGATTTTCTTTCCCTTGCCAGAATCATCAGCCTTAACGTTTGCTGCACACCTTAGATTGCAATATCCAATCTAACATGAAAAATTTCCCAAGCTTCCCTTTGTTCCTTATACATTGGAATGCCATAGCTTGCACTGAGGAAAACATTCTAGCCATATTGTTGGAACCATTCCTGAATGCCTTCTTCTTTTTGGTGTTTGAAACCATACATAACATTGCAAACCACACTGCCTTTCAAATTGAAAAAACCATATGCACTAACATATATTTAAAAGTGTTAAATTTTGTATAATTAAAGAATTATTTAACCATACTAGATCAATTTAAAAATTAACATACATAATGTATTTTAAAGTAAATTTCAATCAAATAGCCGATTTTTAAAAATATAAATTAAAATATGATGTTTTGGGAGATGTCCTCTAGAAAGAACATCCTACAAAACACTTTTTCTTATATATATATAATAGGGATTCACTTGCACATATGTTTTACGCATTATATTTACACAAAATTTTAACTGTTCATCTCTCTACTTTCACTTGTTAAAATTTATTCATTTTTTTATCATATTTATTACAGATAATTATCTTTTTCATTTAAAAAGTCATAATAAATCTTATCCATTGAAAATAGAGAGATCAATAATCAAAATTTTGTATAATTGTAGTGTATAACACTTGTATGTAAAGGCGGTGAGTTTCTCCCTCGGGTTTTGTCTCCAACTTTGGAGCTCCCTCTCTTTTCTTTTACCTGCATCCGCTCCACTTGCTTGCCCCTTCCCTTGTTTGTTTTCGATTTCCCTTTTCATTTTGTTTCAATTCTTTTAGATCTAGGGAGTGATTGATGAGAGGCTATTTCAGATTTACAATATGGATTGCAAGGGTGGAGGTGGGCTATTTTGGTGGGTTGAAGACGACTAGGGTGGTTGCGAAATGGTAAGGTGGGTTGTAGCTAGATAAGGTTTGGCAATTCAATTTAGATTTAAGAAGAGCAGATGAAGAAATTAGAATAATGCTCGGTCGTGTTCATCTTGAAGAGGATGAAGATGGCACTCTCCCTTTGGTCTCAGCTTGGAAACTAGAAGCTTTCAAGGTGGAAAAGCTACTGTTGGTGGGTATCACAGGTACTTCCCTGGCCACACGAACAGATCCTTTCCCTCCGTTTATAGGTTAATAATCAATGGTGGATGGACAGATGTTGTACCTATGATTTTGATGATTACAAAACACATTTGAATGACTAATTGGTTTATTTAAGTGTGTAGTTAAGTTGCTAAAAGATTGCAAGTAAACTTGGATTGCACTAAAAATAAACCAAAAGGATTCAAAATGGCAGAGAGCCAGCTCTTGAAAGCTGCAGCCGGCTCTGGTGAATGGAAGTGCAGACAGCCGGCTCTAGAAGCTGCAGCCGGCTCTACAGGCAAAAATTTGAAGACCATAGCTTGGTGCGCGCGAAGAAAAGACGCAAAGCCGACTCCAACTTTATAGCCGGCTGTGAGGGTGCATTTAATGCACAACGGTCGACTTATTTGAAGAATATTTAATGTATTTAAAGTCAGAGTTTCAAAGCCGGCTCAATATCTTGCAGCCGGCTCTCGAGAAAAACAGAATGTGCTGCAAACCCGGATAGCCGACTCTGAAATTATAAGCCGGCTCTACTGAGCCGGCTCTATAAAGTTAAGCCGGCTCTCCTGACAATCCTGCAGCTCGAGCTTTGTGTCCTGCAGAGCATTTAATGACCCCCAACGGCTAGAAACGACTATTTTCGAGCAATGGACTATAAATATGGTTGGTAGCAGATGTGAAGAAGTTTAGAGAGTATTGTATTGAATATCTTTACCTACCTATATGAGCTTTAACTTGAGTTTTTGATCTTTGAGAGATCTTTACTTGTAATCCTCTTCTTGTG